ATATTAAGCTAATCATGAGTTTATACTGATGGCCTCAACTCTAATCCAGAACCTGGATCATTCTAGCCTTCTCTACTGGCTTGTCTGTGGCCTCCCACTCTAGCAGAGAGAAAACAACCTCCTGCCATCCACTGTCCATTTACTTGATTGTCTAATTCCAGTATACATTCGGCCCTCTGTATCTGCAGACTTGAAAGCTGAAAGCTTTTCATATACACTTTTAGCCAATTGTTTTTTTTTTTTCAGCCTCTTGCTTTTCTGAAGTATCAAGGCCTTCAATTCCTGAGCGTTTCCAGAGTTACAGATGTCATTGCTCGTTTCTTGGTACAGTCACTCTCTGCAGGCACTGAGGTGTCAGTGTTTCCTCTGCTAAGCTGTTACTTCTCTGTCAGCTTTCTGTCTTCCAAAATTATGTTAAGCTTTCTTGTCCTTGTGGGTTTATGCCACACAAGGATGTATGTGTATTTTGCAAATACAGCTCTTAATGTACAGTTGTGATCAAAAATAATTGTGTGCAGTTGATGTCTTTCTTTTTTCCCCCCCTTTAAAAAAAAATCAAATTTATTTAGGTATTATTTACATACAGAATAATATGTACCCATTTTTTAAATTATTAAAGATTAATTAATTAATTGATTTTTATTGAACTGTAGTTAACATACATGCTCATTTCTTCATGAGCATTCCCTGACTGCTCTTGGGTCAGGAATAAACCTATAAAAAACTATCAGTTGTATTCTTTTGAAACTTGCTGAAGTTAACTTTTCTGCTTCATCTGTGGTTGCTCCCATGGCAACACCATAGTAACTGTAACTGCTGGCAGGGTTTGAAAGTTTCTACTTTGACTTTCTTTTATGGCAGTTGGCTCTTTCACACACTCTCTTTCTTATTCTTTTGCAGCATGTGGAATACCAGCAGGGCAGACTTTTATATTATGGACAACTTAACTTTGGACATATCATAAAATAGGGGACAGAATTCAAGATCTGTTTAGTAACAGGAATGAAATACTTATAAAATTCCTAATTGTTTCTATAATTCCAATAAATGGAACTGGTACCTTCTAATGGTTTACAGTTATGGTTTTTTAAAAGTTTGTACAAGTTTATTTATTTGCTTATTATTGAGGTATAGTTGATGCACAATATTATATAAATTTCAGGTGTACAACCTAGTGATTCACAATTTTTAAAGGTTATATTCCACTTGTAGTTTTTATAAAATATTGGCTACATTCCCTGTGTTGTACAGTATATCCTTGTAGCTCATTTATTTCATACATAGTAGTCTGTACCTTTTACTCCCCCACCCCTATCTTGCCCCTCCTCCCTTCCCTCTCCCCACTGGTAACCACTAGTTTATTCTCTATATCTGCGAGTCTGTTTCTTTTTTGTTATATTCACTAATTTATTTTTCAGATTCCATATATAAGTAATATATATTTTATGCTTTACTGAATGTACTGAAAGGGCTGCATGCATTTTTTTTATCCTAAGGGATTAAATGGGATGAGGTGAAATAGCAATTTTAAGAAGGGGTACTGAACTAGGTGAAGGCTTAGATTAAAGAGATGCTTTTAGTGTGCCCACTATGGGATGCATGGCTTCTCTTAAGTGATCTCATTTACTTTTATTCTGCAAATGACCACAATGGAGCTATGAACCCTTTACAGAAATGAACTTGGAGCCTTTGTCTTCAGTCAGGGCAGAGCCAAAGTGGGAAGTCAGGGCCTGTGCTCTTTCCACTGGGCTTAGGTCCTATATTTCCCTAGCTTAGGTTTCCCTAGCTTAGGTTTCCCTAGCTTAGGTTTCCCTAGCTTAGGTCCTGTATTTCCCCTGTGCTTTGCTTCCAGGTTAATGAGAGCCAGTGTAGCACAGTGGGTACGCATGGACTCTGAAGCCACACTGCCTGCATTCAAATATCTATTATACCATGTACCACTTGGGATCTTTGCCTCAGTTTCTCTATCTGTAAAATGGAGAGAATGATAGTTGTGGTGGGAATTAATATTGTAAAACACCTAGTAAACATTATATCAATATAAGTGTTTACTAAATAATAGGTAAATTGTGTTGCACTTCTTGTCCTCCTACTGTGCTCAATACTAAAAGGAAAGCAGATATTGTCTTTAGGTCTTCCCATAAGGGCCAGCTCTGTGGAAACAGAAATGTGTATAGATGTGAGAGAGTTCCTTCTAACATGGAAGGTTTGGGCTAGACAGGTAATACGTTTTAACTAAAATGTCACTTAGCAGCGCTAACCCTCAAATGATGTTCTTAAGCAAAGTCTAAGTGCTTATAAGACTTGTATATCGTTGAATAGCTATGTAGAGCTTTAATAAGGGTGAAAAATTCCACTGGTTGAACTGAAATAATCAGATGAGGAATGGTAAAATAATCTAATTATTTTGTCTTTCTAAAGTGAGGGGGCCGAGCTAGATGACTTCAAATACATGTGACTTTTATAATCATTAAGCTTCTTGGTTTAGTCAGCTAGCTCAGACCTGGAATGTAGATGCTAATGTGCTTAGATTAAAAAGTGGAATGATGTAATAGCTGAAAATCCTCTGGTGTCATTTTGCCTAATTAAAATCCCCAAAGCTGCCTATCTGGCACATAAAAGCAACCACTAGATTGCAGAGATCTTTGGTCATAACTTTGTGTCCTTTTGTCCACGAGCCATTGTAACCCCTTATCCCTATGTTGAATAAGTCAATGACCTTGGTGCCCTACTGCACCTGAGGTTACTTTTTAAATGAAGGAATTAAGACAATATTGTTATCACCTGTAGGCGGGTGACCTGCCCAGGATGTTATCCAGTGCAGACTCAGGGACAGCACGTCTGTTTCAGATTACCAATTCCACATGGGGAATTGAATAGTGTCAACAACTAAAGATTAGCCTTTGCTTGTTTGTAGAAACGACAAAGTAAAGGAGCTAGAAGAGTTCATAGTCTGAGGGGTAAACACACTGAAAAGGATAGTGTTTCTCATTCTGGGAGACGGTTTTATATCAGTCTGAGAAAAGCATCTGAGTAATTTTAATCAAACACCCTGGGCTTAGGCTAGACTTCCAGTGGCTCATCCACATGATGGATGGATAAAGAGCACTGATTGGAGAATCAGTGGCTCCTGAAGAGGCAGCTGTTGAAGGTTCTCGCCAGGCAATTGTCTGGCAATTGTCTTGATTAATGAGATTATGCAGTTGCAAAGCAAACAAAGCTGAGGCTGCTAAGTTGACCAGGAAAAGTCATTTTTTTTCCCTTTGTATTGTAGAGCAGGTGCCTATAGGACCAGAGAAACACTGGGGTGCCCAGCTGACCTTCATTAACATCAGATCAGTTGCTAATTTTAGTAAGCATTTGATTAGTATTTGGGATGTTATGGTCAGGAATTTCTTCATTTGCCATTTTCCCCCACTGGGAAGATCCTATTGAAGTGATATCTCTGTGTTTAGTTTTCCAAGTACTATTGACCCTTGAACAACTCAGAGGTTAGGGACGCTGGACCTTCCACACAGTCAAAAATTTACTTATAATTAATAGCCGGCCCTCTGTACAAGTGGTTCCCCCGTATGTGTGATTCCACATCTACAGGCGGATTCAACCAACCCTGGATCATGTAGTACTGTATTATTTACTATTGAAAAGAATCCTTATGTAAGTAAGTGGACCCATGCAGTTCAAACCTGTGTCGTTCAAGGGTTAACTGTGGTTGGAATTCTTGACAATAACCCCCCAGAATGCTGCTGCTAGTAGTAGCTATTAACTGAGTATCTATTGCATGGAAAAGGAAGAAAGGCAATATTATGTATTGTTTAAGAGCTGGGCACTGAAATGAAACTCCTGGGTTTCATTCCTCACTGTACTATTTACAGGCTTTGTGATTTTGAGCAAATTAACCTTTCTGGGCCTCAATTTTCTCATTTATAAAATGGAAATAGTAAGTGCTCCATCCATGTTAGCTGCTGTTGTTAACAGCATCGTTGTTGTTGCTGATTTCATCAGCTGACCAGTGACTGCGGGAAGAGTGCAAAGTCTGTTGTACCCATACATCGACCCCTTTCTGGGTCCTTCTCACATCAAGTATGATGGAGGGAGATAAGTGAGTGAACCAAATATCCTGGTGGTCTGAGACATTTCCCGTCTGTGACTTCAGTTTTTCTCTCCAGCAGCAGCTTCCCAGTGAGTACGGGTGACTTCATTCTTTCTCATGATAATTATTTTCTGGTTCATTAGCTGGGATATCAAGGTTTTCTGGCTTACCACTGTGAATAGATAAACCTTGATTGATTTTTTTCCATTACCAATGGCTGTAAGCTAAGAGATTTGGTTGGTCACAAATTAAGGAACTTGCCCCACCATTCTTTTTTTTTGGGGGGGCGGTTACGTGGGCCTCTCACTGTTGTGGCCTCTCCCGTTGCGGAGCACAGGCTCCGGACGCGCAGGCTCAGCGGCCATGGCTCACGGGCCCAGCCGCTCCGCGGGATGTGGGATCTTTCCGGACCGGGGCACGAACCCGTGTCCCCTGCATCGGCAGGCGGACTCTCAACCACTGCGCCACCAGGGAAGCTCTGCCCCAACATTCTTGAAACCTCTCTGACCAGGGCAATACTTAGTCTTAATTAAGATAGTGCTCTTGAGGAGCAGAGAGTTAGGAGTTATATTCCTGTGCTGAGAAGAAAAGGACTAAAGAGAAAAGCCTGAGACTAGACATTTGCAGAGCAGCTCAGCTGGTTGAGAGTTGGCTTTGTTTAACGCCCAACTTCTTAGATTTTCCTCGGCTGAGTGGGCTTGGTGGGACATTAGCTTGAGAGTGTTGCTTAGCAACGAGATTTTGTGGGACCCAATTCTCAAAGAGTCAAGCAACCCATCCCCTGCCTACCCTCCACCAACCCTCAGCTACCATCCTGAGCCTCCTGTTAGATAATCAAGTGTGTGCTGGAGGGAGGGACCAGAGACAGGGGGCAAAGTTTAATCGTTGAACTAAGCAGCCTGGAAGTATTTAATCTGTAGCACCTAGTTCCCCGGAGGGATCCAGCCTGGACTGGAAGTGGGCAGCGCTCCAGAGACGTGGGAGTGAACGCTGCACGGAAATATCTGCTCACCTCAGGAGAAACCAAACTTGGGGAAAATGTTTGCGGTACACTTGATGGCATTTTACTTCACCAAGCTGAAGGAGGATCAGATCAAGAAGGTAAGTACTCACAGAGCTGAGAAATACGTGGTTCAGTCTTCCCTGACAGAGTTAATTGATCCCGTGCCTACATGTGAAGAGATTTAAGAGAGCTTATTAGAAAAGGTACAGGGTGCACAGAGGCAGTAAAAACTCACAGAAGGGGAAGAGGAAGTAAATCTCCCATGGGCTGCACATTGCATACTGTCCTGAGCCTTCAATTTCACTTGGACTTCAGATACCAGATGGGAAGGGGATGAGGAGAAAGTCTTTAGAAAGCTTGAAGACAATTGTGTTTGATGTGAGGAATGTTTGGGGGAAAGGCTACAAAGAAGAGTCATTTTTAAAGAAAATTTGAGAACTCATTAAAGTAATTCACATGATTCTTCACATGCTTGGAAGGATATAAATACGGATACCAAGAGGGGTGTGAGTTTTTACTTACAGTATTCAAAATATATGTTGTTGGCACGTGCTGTTGGCCAGCGGTGTGCTCTTAATGATGTGCGTTATTTTGCCACTTTGCCCAAGAAACCTGTCTACAAAATTGATTCCAAGGTCGGCTGGTTAAAAGTTGCCAAGGCTCAAATGGGGGCCAGCCACCAGCATTCTCTCCTGGCAGCCTAGAATGAGCCCAGCCTGCCCCTCTAGCCACACCAGCTGCCATTGGCAGGGCTCTGGGCACGAGCATCTCTCAATTTATAGATAACAGAAGTCCTCCCAGCAGGTGGATTTAGCCAAGATTACCCAGGTATTTAAGGTGGAGTGAGGATTAAACCCAAACCTCTGAATCCTCCTTCAGCATTCTTTCCATTGTGTCATGATGCCTCCTGGCTTTTCAAACTGAAAGAAAGCAAGCATGGCACCTGACAGCCCTCCTGTGCTGGGTGGGATAACCTCCCACTACATTCTGTTCATTAGGGAGTTGGGTTGCAGGTCATAGCAAATCTTAAAATATTGTAAATCAATCAGTTATCTTAATTTTCATTTATTGATTAGATTCATGGAGCTCTCTACTAGCTTCTTAAGGAGGTGGAAAAGTCCTATACAGCACTGGTTAAGAATTCATTTTCTGTTACCACCTCTTACTAAAGATGTAACCTGTATGGTGTCTCTCCGGCCCTCAAGGGGAGTCTTTGGACCTTTATACCTCTAGTTCTAGCAAATTAGTTTCGTTTCCTTGGGCCCCTTTGTGGTGGTTAACCTTTAGTTACACCCAAGAATCAGGCTAGACATGTTTGTCCACCAGCCCAGGTGCAGGCCCAGGAGGTGGGATTGCAGCCTCCATTGATCTGTTCCAGGTCCTTCGGGGAGGAGGGTCAGCGTTTGTCAAGGCCTGGGGTTGACCCCTCTCTCTCTCCCAGGGGAAGGCAAGATAGCTAAGCGTGAGCTGAGCAGGGATAGTCAGGAGCACTTTCCAGCCACCTTGATGAGTGAGCCAGCAGGTTTCTGGGGTAGCAAGGGTGGCCAGTTTATGAGTTGCTGCGTTGAGTCACAGGTTCCGAGAACACCAACTCATTCACTCCTCCTCGTGGTGACAACACACCTGGTCAAAAGGCACGGGCTCTTTCTTTGTCCCGGTCAGGTAGCAAGTCCCCTCCATAGTTTCTGTGCTTCCTGCTTCTAGAGTTGTCAAGATCCTGGGTGCTGCTTGCCTACGAGGGTTACTATTCAGACCCTGGGACAATTTTTTAATATTTCCTTATACCAACATTAAAACTAAACCAAAACAAAACAGGAAGGAAGGGGAAGAAAGAAGGAAGGAAGGAAAGAAGGAAGAGAAAGAGAAAGGAAGGAAAGAAGGAAGAGAGAGAAAGAAAAAGAAAGGAAGGGGGGAGGGGAGGGGG